GGAATAGTAAAATGGCAAAATCAAGCCTTGCTTTTTGGAATTTTTATACGTGTGTGTATTTAATATTTTCAAGCCGTGGATGGTTGAATCCGTGGATAAAGAATCCCTGGATATGGAGGGCTGACTGTATAAATGAACAAAATCCATGGAATATAAATTGCACTGTTAGGTTTCCATGCTTTTGTGCACATCAGACTGGTAAGAGGTAGTGTAGCTAAGAACACAAATTGGGTATGAAGCCCCATGGCCAAGAAATTCTGGGAATCCTATCCGAATCCTATCCTATCTGAATCCTGGGATTGCTGCTACAAATCATAAAATAATGAGAAGAAGGAGTGGAGATATCTTTTTTCCTTCCTTGCATCCAACTATGGACCCAAAATCCCTGCAGGCTGATTTGCAACCATTTTAAATGGTTGCTTTATCTTGTAAGCCGCCTCGGCTATATTTTACAGAGATGCGGGATATTAATAATAATAATAATAATAATAATAATAATAATAATAATAATAATTTATCTGAAAGCACTCAGATTTCGTGGTGATTTTCAGCAGGCAGCTGGGTGCAAAGGGGGAAAAGTGCATTATGTTGTGTACAGATACACAGCCATTAAAAATAATATTTTTTACCCACATTGGCATATAACAGAATAGATTTTTAAAAAATATTTATTTATTTATAACAGCAATAAAAGAAAACATAGTTTACAAGACATTGGACATATAACACTGAAGACATTTACAAACACTGGAAGAACATTGCAAACATTACAAACATTAAAAATATTACAAACAAAACTTCCTATCTACCACTGATTCACACACACACACACACACACACACACACACACACACACACATATACACACACACACACACAGCAGAATAATTTTTAAAAACAACATGCATTTCTAAAATCTAAGAGTTAAACAGCTTTTGTCTTTTTAATTGTAGTTTATTCTTTTAATAAGCAATCTATTTTAATACTGTAACCATTTAATTCTGTTTTAACATACCACTTTTCTATGTTTTTAATTGTATTGTTCCTTTAATGTTGTGAGCCGCTCTGGGTCCCAGTGCAAAATAATAATAATAATAATAATAATAATAATAATAATAATAATTTCATTCCAGCTTTAAAAGACAACCCCTGAAGAAGCATTGAGAAGAATCATAAATAAAGAATAAAATGGTGCTAGTTGAAGTTTTAAGGGTATGTATATAGTTTTATTGTGATTGTTTCAATGCGTTTTGAATATTTTTAACTGTAATGTTTTTAAGTGCTTTTATCTTCTGATCGCATTTTCTTCTTTTAATGAGTGATATTTGAATATTACTAATTTAAAGCCCTGGGACATTTAATATTGTACTAGTTTAATGTCTTGAGACATAATACCCGCCTTGAATCCCATTGTGGGATAAAGGCTGAATATATATCCAATAATAATAATAATAATAATAATAATAATAATAATAAATATTATTCAATTTTAATGTGCACTTTTGTATGTTTTTAACTGTACTGTTTGCATGTGTAAACCTGACTTAGCCACAACAACAACAGCAACCTGATTAAAGCCGAACTTTAAAAACACACAACTGTTTCAAACTTTTATAAATGTTAGACGCAACAGACACCAACGCCAATAAAAGCGGCTATTAAAATGGCAGACAAAAATGGGTGAGCCGTTTCTAGATTAGCAAAGATAATTTTCTTTCTCTCTGCAACTTCTGAGCAAACAGGTTTTGCCATTCTGTTTTTTAAAAGGTGAAAGTAGGAAAGGCAGAGGTCTGGTTTCTTCCAAACTTCCTTCAACTTTGTTGAACTCAAACAAGGGATTCTTGTGGCAACCTTGAAAACTAGCCACCTTTTGTTTGGCATAAGATCCAACTAAAACTACTTAACCTTTTAAGAAATCACAAGACACTTGGCCGCTTGGGTTGCAAAGATGGAACAAAAAAAAAAAGTGGCTGTCCAAATGTGGGACTGACACTCCCATCATCCTTCATCCAAGGATGATGGGAGTTACAGTGCAACAAAATCTGCAGGGTTCACAGGTTCGCCAAGCTGCATTCACTGCAAGAGATGCCCATTTAAGATATAATCATGCCATTGCGGTTTTTTATTTTATTTTATTCTATTTTTTATTTATTTTATTCTATTTTATGCTCTTATAAGTTATTATTGCTATTTGCTTTTTACTATTTTATTATTTGTATTTTGCATATTGTATTCATTTTATTGTGTAATCCTGCCTCGATCCGTAGGGAGAGGCAGGAAATATAAATAATATAATAATAAAAATAGAGTATAATTATATGGCATGTTTGTTTTCGATATGTCAACTATATCTCCCAAGACTTTACAGAAAGCATGGAGTTCTAAGATGTCTGAAAGATTCTGGGAGATATAGTCCAAAGCTAGTCAGGGGATCCTGGGAATTGCAGTCTAACTTTTGCAAGGAGTTCATGGGGACTTTTGTGTCGGCTGAAGGATTCTGGGAGATATAGTACAAAGCTAGTCAGGGGATCCTGGGAATTGCAGTCTAACTTTTGCAAGGGGGAATTCAGGGAGCTGTAGTCAAGCCTGGCAAGAAGAAATTATAGGAGCTACAGTCTGCAGCCTAAGGCAACACATCTGGGAAATGATGGGTAATTCTGGGAATCGCAGTTTAACTCTGGGAAAGGAAGGAAGGGCTGAAAGAGGGTAGGAAGGAAAAAGGGAAGAAAAGAAAGGGGAGGAAAGACAAGGCTGAAGGAGAGTGAAAAGGGAGGAAGGAAGGGAGGAAGGAAGGAAGGAAGGAAGGAAGGGAGGGCTGAAAGTGGCCAAGAAGGAAAGAAGAAAAGGAAGGAGTGTGGGAAGGAAGGAAAGAAGGAAGAAAGGGAGTGGAGCAGGTGGAGGAGAAGGAAGGAAGGAAGGAAGGAAGGA